CCCGGCACCTTGTGGGAGCTCCTCCTCCGCCGGCCTGGGCGCCTGCAGCAGGTTGTAGAGAGATTCAGGCTCCATCCTCCCGCCAGCCCTGGGGTGCAGGGACAGAGGGTGTCATTTCTTCCAGGCCGGGAGGTGCGGGGACAGGGTGGGAGCTGGCTCTGGGGGGGTGAGCCACTTGCTGCCTAAGCATGGGGCAGGGTCCCTGACGGAGGCCGCAGGCAGCACTCCTGGACTCCGAGTGGAGCAGGGCACAGGGTGAGGGCACAGGGTGAGGACACAGGGTGGGGGCACAGGGTGAGGGCACAGGGCAAGGGCACACGGTGAGGGCACAGGGTGAGGACACAGGGTGAGGGCACAGGGTGAGGACACAGGGTGGGGGCACAGGGTGAGGGCACAGGGCGAGGGCACAGGGCTGAGGGCACCGCCTGTGCACAGGTTCCACAGGAGCGGGGCATCCCCAGCTGGGCACAGTGTCCAGCCCACCAGGTTCCTGTAGCACAGGAAGCCCCCACACATACCCCCCACTGCACCCCACACATACCCCACTGCACCCCACACATATCCCACTGCACCCCACACACACACCCACTGCAACCCCACAATACCCCCCCCCCACACATACCCCACTGCACCCCAGGAAAGGAAGCCCCACACATACCCCACTGCACCCCACAGTCAGGACAAAGGGGTGGCCACTCCTCAGAGCTTCTTCCATCCAGAAGCCCTGAGCTTAAGGGGAATCGGGGGACCGACGTGTGTTATCTACAGGCCCTGAGCTCCTGCGGGGGGGCGGGGAGGGGGCAGGCCCTGAGCCTGGTCAGCTGGGCGCAGAGCACCTCCAGCCTTTGAGTGAGGGACCGGAGCTGGGGGGCCACTGTCACCTGGACTGGTCCCCACTCCCTGAGGCTTGGCTCTCATGGGTGGCCTGGCCCTGCGGGCCCCCAATCCTGGACAGGGCTCTCTGCAGGGGGCTCTGTCTCGGGGGGTTTGGGGGCCTCGTGCTCCTCAGCATGGGAAAGGCCGCACCCACGGCGTGTACAGGAGCTCACTGTGGGGGGACCCAGCTCACCCCCCGCCTGCAATGAACCAGCGGAGCCTCCTTCCTGTTCCCCTGGCGACTTCCTCTCCTGCTCGCGGGCAGCCGTGCCCCCGCGTTTCTCTCCGCAGCCCCGGCCCTCCCCGTGGTGCCAGGCCTAAGGGACACCTGGGCCCAGTGTCGGCCGCACAGACCCTCCGGGGTCAGCCCCACGGCAGGGCCAGAGCTGCACTGAGCAGAGGCCTGCACGGCCGGAGCCCCCTTCACACCGGCCGCCAGCCTGGGGCACGCAGGACCGTCCTGCCCTGCGTGGGGGGTGGGGAGTGGGGGGACACAGCCGCCGGGCTCCCCGAGTCCCCAGCCTCCTCTTGGACACGGAGTCGGTGAAGATGTGTCCAGAGAGGAGGGCAGGGCCTGGCCTGGGCGTCACAAGCCTCGGTTCCGGCGGCCCTTCCTCATTCTGGCTGTGACTTCACCGCCCCGGCCTCTCTGTCCGGCCGCTTCGTAGCACAGGGGGCCGGACTCCATGCTGCCTCCGCCCCAGCCGCCGGGCAGGCCCTTCTGGCCCCAGGCCTCAGTGTCTCCCTCTGATGAATGGGGGCGGCCTTTCTCACGGGAGGTGACGAGGAGCCCGAATCTGCTCACCTGGCTCCACAGAGGCAGGGCCGGGCCGCGGGGGCAGCAGGGGACAGGGGACAGGGGACAGGGAACAGGGGACAGGAGCTCCGGGGCCACTGGGCCCAGCCCCCTCAGCTAAGACTGTGCCGTCTGCCCTCAGTTTCCCTGCCCCTCAGAGCCCTCCGCGTGTGAGCTGGGACGGGCAAGACTGCGGACGGACAGACAGACAGACAGACAGACAGCCCCCGCAGCCCAGGCCTCCCTCGGGCTGGGACGCCAGGAGGACTCACCCGGCGGCTTCCTCCACGTGAGAAAACGAGGGTCACGGAGCTCCAATGGTGGCCCCGGCTTCACCCAGAAGCAGTTCCGGGCTCCCCAGGTCAGAGGGGCTGCAGGGCCCGGGAGGCAGGGG